CGGCGACCGCATCTTCTACACCTCCTTTCGCCCAATCGAGGAGATTTGCGCTGGGAGCACCGTGTCCCCAACGCCTTGCAGAGGCCTTCGCCCGTAACTCGGCCCCCCCCTCGGAGATTCCGGACTGGGCCAAGGAGTTCCAAGACGTCTTTGACAAGGAGTCCTTCGACACGTTACCAGAGCGGAGGGCTTGGGACCACGCTATCGAACTCGTTCCCGGCCGAAGCCCGCTAATTGCAAGGTGTATCCGATCTCCCCCTTGAACAGCGCAACTTGATGAGTTCATCGAGGAGGGACTTGCCACAGGCCGTATCCGCCCTTCGAAATCTCCGACATGGCTTCCCCCGTCTTCTTCGTTAAGAAAAAGGACGGAGGACTTCGGTTTGTCCAGGACTACCGCGCCCTCAACGCAATGACGATTAAGAACCGGTACCCCCTCCCGTTGATTAATGACCTTATCAACAGGCTTAAGGGCGCCCGTTACTTCACCAAACTCGACGTTCGCTGGGGGTTTAATAACGTCCGGATTAAAGAAGGAGACGAGTGGAAGGCGGCCTTCGGACCAACCGAGGGTTGTTCGAACCTTTGGTGATGTATTTTGGCCTGACGAACTCCCCCGCGACCTTCCAAACGATGATGAATGACATTTTCCAGGATCTCATTCTCTCAGGAGACGTTATGATCTACCTTGACGATATCCTTATCGCACATTCGGACCTCCGCAAGCACCGCGAGATCGTCCGGGAGGTCCTTCGGCGGCTCCGAATGCACAAGTTGTACCTTCGCAAGGAAAAGTGCGACTTGAGAAATCGTCAATCGAGTACTTGGGGGTCATTATCTCGCACAACCATGTCGAAATGGACCCCGTTAAGGTCGCCGGAGTCTCCGCATGGCCTCCGCCCGAAAACAAGAAGGACGTTCAGCAGTTCCTGGGGTTTGCTAATTTCTACCGCAGGTTCATTCGGGATTTCTCGGCCCTAGCACAACCTCTCTTTGCGCTTACCAAGAAAGACCAGAAATGGACCTGGGGAGACGCCGAAGCCGCCGCCTTTCAAGCCATCAAGGACGCGGTCGTATCAGAACCTGTCTTAGCGATCCCGGACGACTCTCGGCCTTTCCGACTTGAAGCAGACAGCTCAGATTATGCGACGGGGCGGTTCTTTCACAACAATCCACCCCGGACGGGAAGTGGCACCCTGTAGCGTTCTATTCCAAAAGCTTAAATGATGTCCAGCGCAACTACGAGATTCACGACAAGGAGATGCTCGCGATCATCCGTGCACTCGAGGAGTATCGGCATTTCCTCGAGGGGGCCGCGCATCCGGTCGAGATCTGGACTGACCATAAGAATTTGGAGTATTTCCGAAAGGCACAGCACCTTAACCGTCGGCAAGCCCGATGGTCGTTGTACCTTTCTAGGTTTGACTTCACGCTGCACCACGTCCCAGGTCGCCAGATGGGCCGCCCCGACGCCCTCTCCCGTCGGCCTGACCACGGCATCTCCGAGGACAACTCGGATGTTACCCTCTTACGCCCCGAACTGTTCCATGTTCGCGCGCTTGAGGCCGTCACCGTCTCTGGGCCTGGCTCCGAACTTGTCCGCGACATCAGGGAAGCACTATCCGGTGAGCCTGACCTAGAGGAGCCCGTCGCGCTTGCGGCCCGGCAACTCTTGAAGGTCCGAGGTCAAGTTCGGGGCCCCCGCTCATCACGTTCGGACGAGTGGGCCGTCTCCGGCGACCTCCTGTACTTCCGCGGGCAAGGTTGTAGTCCCTAAAGACAAGGACCTAAGGAGGCGCATCATCGAGCTCTGCCACGATACGCGAGTCGCCGGACACGCCGGGCGGTTCAAGACCTTAGAGTTGGTTTCGCGCAACTACTGGTGGCCGCAGATGTCTCGCCATATCGGACGCTACGTCGCGACCTGCGACTTATGCTGCCGCACGAAGGCCCTCCGAAGGCTTCCGCATGGAGAGCTGCATCCGACCGAAGTCCCGCCCGAACGTTGGCACACTGTCACTGTAGACTTCATCGTCGAGCTGCCCGAGGCCCATGGGTATGACGCGGTTATGGTAGTGGTCGACGCCCTCGGAAAGCGTGCCCACTTCACTGAGTGCCATACGACAATAGACGCAGTCGGAGCTGCCCGCTTGTACTATCGGAACGTCTGGAGGCACCACGGAACCCCCGAGAAGTACATTTCGGACCGTGGCTCGCAGTTCATCGCTGACTTCACGCGCGAAACTCTGGCGCTTAATTGGCGTCAAACCGGCTACCTCCACGGCTTACCACCCGCAAACCGACGGACAAACCGAGCGCGTTAACCAAGAGCTCGAGCAGTACATCCGGATCTTCACCAACTACCAACAAGACGACTGGGACAAGCTTATCCCTGCCGCTGAGTTCGCCTATAACAACCACGTTCACTCCTCCACTCAACAGGTACCCTTTATGACTGACACTGGTCGGCTCCCCCGAATGGGTTTCGAGCCAGGCGCCCGCTCAGAGTTGGAGTCGGTGAACGAAGTTTCGTGATCGGATAGCAAACGGCGTCTCCGAGGCAAAGGCCGCGCTCGTTAAAGCCAAAGACGAGTATAAACGGTACTACGATCGGAAACGTTCGGACGCTCCGAATATTCAAGTTGGTGATAAGGTTTGGTTAGATGCCTCTGACATTAGAACGACTCGGCCCTCCGAGAAGTTCTCCCACAAGCGCCTTGGACCGTTCAAGGTGCTCGCAGAGGTTAGCAAAGGTGCCTACAAGCTCGACCTCCCCCCCGTTACTCCAAGCTCCACCCCGTCTTCCCCGTTGTTAAGCTCGAGCCCGCTCAGGACGACCCCCTTCGATGGACGACCCGGCTACGACGAACCGCCCCCGAACTAGAGGACGGAGTTCCCGAATGGGAAGTCGAGGAAATCTTGGATGCCAGGATAAGGTATAAGCGTCTTAACTATTTCGTCAGGTGGAAAGGCTACGATGCTTCACACGACTCGTGGGTTCGGTTCGACCGTGTCTTTGCGCCAGACAAGATTGCGGACTTCTATCGGAGATACCCGGGTAAACCACGGCACATCGCCTCAGCAACCTTCGACTCGCTGCCCTTCCGTATTATGCGTCGGGACGCCGCATTCAAAGGGGGGTGATGTCAGGGGAACCCCCGCTTCGGCCTCCTTCGGACCCTCCGAACGCATCCGAGGCGCATCCGACCGGCGCCCCCTCGGACGCTCCGACCCACCCCGACCATCGTCCACGGCCTCCTTCGCCCGCACAATCACCGATCCGTCAAGACCCTCCCAACGATCACCTTGGGACAGAGCCTGCGACGCCGCTCAGGCCTTCTGCGCTCTACGTCGGCAGTTACGGACGACCAGTATATAGTTGGCGCCCCAGCAGGCGGACCCTTAGAGTTTCTTCTCTTTGGATCCTCCCCTGCTAGGTCGGTCCCTCCGTGTATTTCCCGTAGCTTTTATTCACGCTTTGGATCCTCCCCTGCTAGGCTTTCGTCGGAGTCTCCAGGGTTGCCCTTACATAGATCTGAATTGTAAGATCTAGCTAAGTTAGAGGTTGAGACACTAAGTTGCAAAAGTCACTCAGAAGAGCCAGAAAAAATGATACTCACTGAGAAGAGCAAATCAAGTTTTCAAAAAAAGCACAGAGTTTATCTTCTATGAATGATGTGGTCTGTGCATGAATATAGGGCAGATATTGATTATAAAAGATGCGCTGGCTATCTGCATCTCTTGCCTCTGTGACTGAATAGGCATACCGATAACGTGTCTTGCAATCTATTTATAAGGTAAGATCCAGTATTTATATGAATATTATTATTACATCGGCAATAAAGTGGCACCTCATAAACCGGAATAACACCTTCACGCAGAGTGTAAAGACGGGCCAAAGTTGCATACGCATTGCCTAGTTTACTGTCTTTGTGTGTGCAGTTCAGATTAACACAATGTCGGTAGGGTGGTAATAGCATATAAGCCCCTTAAACCAGCTAAGATAAGATAGATAATTAGAAATAATTCACACCAAGATTATATGAAGGGCCATTCCCACGTAGACGGTCTGTTGCCTCAGCCTCAAGAAAAGGTCCTTGCCAATTCTGGATTTGATCTCTGAGAATCTTCCAGAGTTCCTGTACTTGCTCTCTTGAATTGTTTTCTCCTGCGGGAAAGAGAGTATCAGCCAGAAAGGCAATTACATTATCTGGAAGCTGCAATGATTGTCCTCGGTAAGGTAGAGGTCGTGGGAACCCCGCACCCTTACTAATCTGATGCAATCACCACTGATGCGCCGTTATGGGCGGGGGGGCGGGAGTGCTGGAGAGTTGTAACTATGTGAAATAGGGACTTAGTAGAGTGTTGAATAGATCTTAGGTCCCAAATATGCCCTATTTGGACCTCTCGATGGTAGTTAGGTGCCCAAATTTTGTCGCCGGGCCGGGTGGACCGGGCCCGGAACGTGACATCCGGTCACGTTTGTCACGTTCCGTCACTCACTGACACGCTGACGCGCCATGCCCAGGGCGAGCAAGAAGGCACGCACCAGCCGTGCCAATGGAACAAAATCTCAGCCCAGAGCTTCCGCGGCATCCCACATGCCTGCCAACGGTGCGTGCTTGTCTTCGCAAATCAGAGATGGCTGCTTGACAGACAACCAGAAGCATCATTCATCTCATGGAATCTCGATCTCGGCGACGAATTTCCCTTTGCGGACGAAGACGCAATCACAGAAGGCAACGCGTCAGACGGTGACTCAGATGTTGAGGTCCTGGTGACGCAAGCAGAAGACGAGAATGCAACGGAGGAGGCGCTGTCGGGCTTCTTTGACTTTTTGGCCACCGCACAAACATCAGCAATGAAGAGGTTAGAGCTTCGGAAGAAGGAGAAACGCGTCAATTGGGCGTCAGCGGCCGGTTGTCTACGCCAAAGACTCGCTGCGACGCCAGCAGCGGATTTTGAAGAAGGAACGGGAAACAAATGAGCGGGTGGAGGAGATGAAATCATTTGGGAATGCATTCGCATTCATGATGCGGAAGCCAAAGCCAAAGCAAACCATTAGAATGTCTCAGCCAACGCCAACAACTCAGATGGAGGTGGATTCAACAACGGATTGTGAAAGAATGGAGGTGGATTCAGACGTTGAAGAGGTGCGTCTCCGAGCATTCATTCCTTGTTGCCTATTCTAACCATTCAATAGATCTTGTCCCCGCCAGTTGTGCCTCCTCCCCAATCCAATGGACACCCTGACTCCCAGCCAAACTCACCCTCCCATTCGACTTCCATCGGCAGCAGCCCTGCCTATCCAGAAGCCTGCATGGATCGGGTCAATTTGGCCCATGTCCGACTTCGGGAAATGCTGGAGGCAATGGACACAGGTCGTGTGCCGACAGACCTGTCGCTGGAAACAGCTGCAGATCGAGCGCTTAACCAGCTGCATCACCGCGACTTCCCTTCCCTTCGACGCGCCGCAGAACTGCTAGAGCTTACAAGCAAGAACAAACACCATGATGTCGTATTTCGGACGCGTCTGGCTGCAATGCTCGGCACTCTCAACCTGTTCCTCAACCCGGGATGCAATTATACTTGGCGGCAAGCATCCACCGTCATTGCCCGTTCACAAGGACATGCAACACACTATGCCAGGCGCATTCGCGACTGGCTCCACTACTTCCTGACCCACCGCAAGCTGCCCGAACACGTTATTGGAGTCAACGACGGCGACTCTCTTCTGGATGACGAGGACTTTTGTGCGGCCATCAAGTTACACCTGCAGCTTGTTTGCGCAAAAAACAAGCACTTCCGAGCGCAGGATATCGTTGACTTTGTGGCGGGGGAGGAGATGCAAGCGAAGCTGGAGGCTGCTGGTGTTCAGAAACGGACAATCTCTGTCCGGACAGCGCGTCGGTGGCTTACAGCTGTTTTCAAAATAGTTGGCCACGGCCCGATTTTTCGTCACGTGACATCAAAATTTTGCGTCCGAGATTGTGGAGGCTCTTTCTCACTTAAAACTAGGTATTCCTGTGTAAATTTTAGCATATTCGGAATCTACTCAATGAGCTGCACCCAATGGTGTGGCCTACACAAGAATATACCGAGACACGACTGATCTCTTGCTTCGCCTGATTTTCAGCATGCTTTCCCCATTGCTCTATAACACAATAGCTTTTGACTTAGAAAAGACAGATATATGGTTTATAAGTGAGTATAAAAATATCTCCAAACAATTGTGAACAGTAGGCTAGCCTTATCCAGTCTCCAAGAACAGCGCTGCTGTCCCTCCTCTTGACCTTGGTCCATTTCAACACCTTTTTCACCTATCCATGGCAGCCAGCATCCTCAGAGCTCTCAATTCACACCCTAGAATCTCCTGATTCATTGTTTTGGCTGCCAGCCACCCTGGTTTTGGAGTGTACAAGTGTTTGGTCCAAGCATCGATATCAGTCGGACCTCCTCAATTTCCGTATAAAATCCTCATGTATGCCGCACCATTGGGTGCAGCTCATCGAGTAGATTCCGAATATACAGAAATTTACACAGGAATACCTAGTTTTGAGTGAGAAAGAGCCTCCACAATCTCGGACGCAAAATTTGTGCAAATTTTGATGTGTGACGAAAAATCGGGCCGTGGCCAACTTTTTTGAAAACAGCTATAAGCGGATGGATTGGCGGTTTGGCAAACGGAAAAACGGCATGTATGTAGATGGGCATGAGCGGGAAGATGTTGTGGCATATCGAACAGCGTTTGTGAAGCGATGGATCGAGGAGTATGAACCAAGGATTATTGTTTACGATAACGAGGGTAACGAGGCCAAGCGACCCGATGCAGACACTTTCAAACTCTCCGGAAAATATGCTGGCCAGCGCTTTCAACTCATCCCTGTCACCCACGACGAATCGACATTTTACAAGAATGATCGACGCAAGTCGGGATGGATTCATGCATCAATCAAGGCTGCCCCGGAGGCCAAGGGAGAAGGGGATTCCATTATGGTTTCTGACTTCCTTGTTGCACACTGGGGGCGTTTGCGAGTTCCGGAACTCAAGTGTGTCTTCATTTGCACTTCAATGTGCTTCTCTCTGACATTCAATCACAGTTGGGACGCTCGTCTGTTCTTCCGTGCTGGGAAGAATCGTGATGGCTACTTCACGTCAATAGAGCTCCTCGAGCATGTTGAAAATGCCATTGATATCTTTGAGCACAAGACACACAAGTTTGCGACAGGCCTTTTCCTCTTCGATAATGCACCAAGCCATCAGAAACGCGCTGCCCGATGCGCTTTCCGCCCGCAAAATGCCCAAAGGCCCCCATGCGACCTGGACTCATATACCAAATGGTCCCAAAATGCGTGATGGTACCATGCCTGATGGTAGCCCACAGCCGCTGTACTGGCCGCCAAATCACCCAACAATGCCGGGTTGGTTTAAAGGCATGGAGCAGATTTTGCGGGAACGGGGGGTTGTTTCGAGATGGTATGAATGCACAGTGTCCAGGCTTCAAGTGTAAGCCTGACACGACCAATTGCTGTTGTCGGCGGACAATGTTTTGTCAGCCTGACTTTGTTGCGCAGAAATCGGCACTTCAGGAGCTTGTTGAGTCGCGCGGCCACATCTGTGACTTTTACCCAAAATACCACTGTGAGCTGAACTTCATAGAAATGTACTGGGGAGCTGCGAAGGCACTGTACCGCAAGACAGACAAGACCAAGACTATTGATGAGATGGAGGAGAATATGCGCAAGGCACTCGATGATGTTCCACAGCTGTCCATCTTGCGGTGAGACTTATTCAATCTCATGGTATTATTGCCGAACCGAAGTTTCGGCTCTATATGTGAAGATGAAAACCAGCCCCCCCAAATTGGGAGTGGCTGTGTTTTGATTACCCTTATTGGGACGGCATCACAAGGATCACATGATGCGTCCAGCAGAGTCACGGTTCGGCTCTCTGCCGCTTGCGGCCTTATCCCCTCTCATATATCTAAGCCAATAACAACAGATATGCTAATCGTGCTGTCCGTTTCATGTCTGCCTATGCAAGTGGTCTCAATGGGGAGGAGCTTGCCTATGTCAATCGAAGGTACAAGGGCCATCGGATGCTTCCTGCAGCCATAATTAAGGAGATTCATGCATCTATTGCTGCTAATTTACCTCAAACCAAGTAATCTGAAGTATTCTAGACTATTATAATTTTTATCTACCTGTTTTTATTTTTATTTTTTTTGCTGAGCCTGAATTTTGTCGCTGATGCCATCAATTGATGGATTAGTAAGGGTGCGGGGTTCCCACGACCTCTACCTTATTCTGGGTGATGGACTAGTTCAATATAGTCCCAAAGGCGCCGGAGGATGGTAATACAGAGCAATGTGGTACGAGTATGACTCGAGGAGGTGATAATCTGCTGAGCAGTATGCAACAGAGACATGGTTGGAAGCAAGGAGATGAACTAAGATAAGACTTTGATCGGACCTGAAAGAAGAGTCCTATAGGATAAATCCATTCTGCAGGATATTTATAATATCTTGTAGGACACTTATCCTACAGGAGACTATACCTAACTATCCTATAGGATACTAGAGCTGTTTATCCTGTAGGATAACTGGTACTTGATCCTGTAGGATACTAAACTTATTTATCCTGTAGGATACTAAACTTATTTATCCTATAGGATCTAGATAGACCTGCAGGATAACTATCCTGTAGGGATGGGTTCCAACTACTCTACAGGATAAACCAGGTCCGGAAAGATACCTGTAGAATAAATAATCCTATAGGCTTCATTCATACTACAGGAGAAATATTATATACTACAGGTTTGATTTGCCTACCCTATAGGATAATGCCCACGGGCATATACCCGTGGGCATATGCCCGCGGGCATTGCACAGGATTGGCATCTTTCTGCTGAGGTTTGAGCGCAAATCTGGACAAAAGCACATATGAAACAGGATTTGGACTCTTGAGTCTTGACTACGAGACTTGAGGTCATTCACTACTTTAAGTACTTTAGTTTCTAATATACCCATGACAACCAACGATCAGGCTGAAAATATCCGGCAGAGACTGTTTTACTTGATTTTCCGCATTTCTACCTACTTAAAGGCTACTTTTAGGGTGATAGGGAAAAAAATTGAGGTTGAAGCAGAATCTGGACAAATTTTGGCCAGGATGATTTTCAGAATCCTACCTCAATAGGGATTCACACGGGTCTTCCGCCGTTGCCAACGACTTCGACAAAAGACAATGATGATGTCCAATGGTCTTCGTACCAGTCATTCGGCTTTAAGGCTGCAAGAGCTGCTTTTATCTGCTAAAACCTGCTCAAGATACTATGACCCACCTACGTCAGTTCTCCAAACCTCTTCGGCTGCCATCCAGAGCTAATAGCTTTAAATGAAGTTTATCTGGACCCGATGTTCAGCCCAGACAACAGTAAACCCACGCGGATGCTGCCATTTGGAGCGAGCTGTGAACCGATCGAGACTGAGACCCCCTCTCCCCACTTTTTCCTCATCCGACCCACAACTCGCATGAGTCCCCCACTGTACACCGTTCTACGGCGTCGCTCTTTGCGGCGTCCCCATTATTTTCTTTCTCATATTCCTTGCCCTCTTCTGGTTCGCCCCCCACATGCGTAATGTCGTCTTCGATGCCCAGCATTCGACCAAGATCGCGTTTAAACTCGCTGCCAGGATGGGCCACAGTAACTCACACGCAAATATATACCCACACCCGCTGGACAACGCGTACCTTCACTCACCGCGAGTATTCGACTGTCTTTCTGGGACCAGCCGAGATCCCCGCCTCAACTCGCTCACCTCCAGCTCGCCCAACCGTGCTCGGCAAGCATAATTTTCGATCTGATGGACTGCTCGAAGTCAATCCCGCCGCCCCACATCCTATTTTCTCCCTCGTCGCGCGAGTGCAACTCGAATGGGACACTAAACTTGCTTCTGCGAGTAAAACTCTCCGGCAAGCTGTTGCAGAATACACACGATGGTACAACAGGCCCCCTCCGCAAGGCTTTGATGTTTAGTGGGGCTACGTGGTAGCAAACAGAGTCCAGCTTCCTGACGAGTGTAAACCCGCTGGTTTATCTGTGTGACACTCACTCATAGTGTCACTCATTGTGTGACCATCAGTAGTCATTCTTGTCCTGTACCTCGTCGTCCTTGGAATCCACAGCCCTGTCCTGTTGACTTGCTGCGTGTCTCCCTCAGTGTTTCCTGTTGGCAGCAGGCTTTCAACGAGTACGACCAAATCGACCGCGACTTTGTCAGGGGAACCCCCGCTTCGGCCTCCTTCGGACCCTCCGAACGCATCCGAGGCGCATCCGACCGGCGCCCCTTCGGACGCTCCGACCTGCCCCGACCATCGTCCCACGGCCTCCTTCGCCCGCACAATCACCGATCCGTCAAGACCCTCCCAACGATCACCTTGCGACACGGCCTGCGACGCCACACAGGCCTTCTGCGCTCTACGTCGGCAGTTACAGACGACTAGTATATAGTTGGCGCCCTAGCAGGCAGACCCTTAGAGTTTCTTCTCTTTGGATCCTTCCCTGCTAGGTTGGTCCCTCCGTGTATTTCCCGTAGCTCTTATTCACACTTTGGATCCTCCCCTGCTAGGCTTTCGTCAGAGTCTCCAGGGTTGCCCTTAAAGCAGAAGAAACTCTCTACGGGATTAACCGGTCAAGATTGCCAGGTTCGGCGCGGACTCAGGCTCGGAGTACAAGTCAGTACCCCCCTCGTCACCGCCCCTGCCACTTGACCCCTCCTCCTCTGCTCTTGCCGTCCCTTACGCCCGCCATGTCTACCGGAGCTGCTTCGGACACTGACGCGCGCATGGACGCACTTGAGGCGAAACTTGACAACCTCACTAATATCCTCACCAATCTTGCTTCCCAGGCTTCCGCTGCCGCACCACCTTCGGCAGCTCCTGCACCGACTTCGGCATCTCCGAATGCCCCCGACGCGGTGATAAGCCGCAGTCTGGGACAGACCAGGAAACGACTATTTTTGTCGATTTTGTTGCTCAGCGCACGTCTCAGAGTTGACATGAGTCCCGAATGGTCAACTAGGGAGTTATTGTAAGGGCAACCCCGGAGGCCTGAAGTCAAGGTCCTAGCAGGGGAGGATCCAAAGAGTGAATAATGGTAAGCAAAATACAAGTGGGGCTGACCTAGCAGGGGAGGATCCAAAGAGAAGAAACTCTGAGGGTCCGCCTGCTAGGCCGCTGACTATATACTGCGCATCTGACGCGCCAAGGATGATCGTTGCTCCGTGCAGTATGCCCGCGCCATGTCGCAGGCCAGGTCCCAGGGGGATCGCCAGGCGGGAGCGGCGATGTGCCTGATGGCGGTGATGTGATCACCGGAGTCGAAACTGGAGTTGGGGCGAGTCCGACGGGCCGAACGAGGGGGTTCCCCTGGCATCACCCCCCCTTTGAATGTGGCGTCCCGACGCATAGACCGGAAAGGGATGGTGTCGAAGGTCGCGGAGGCGATGTGCCGTGGTTTGCCGGGGTACCTACGATAGAACTCCGCGATTTTGTCCGGGGCGAAGACGCGGTCGAAGCGGACCCACTGGTCGTGCGACGCGTCGTAACCTTTCCACCTGACGAAGTAGTTCAGCCGTTTATACCTCACCCTTGCGTCCAAGATTTCCTCTACTTCCCACTCCGGGACTCCGTCCTCGAGGTCCGGAGGGGGCTGGTCGTAGCCGGGGCGTCCGTCGAAGGGGTCGTCTTGGGCGAGCTCGAGTTTGATGACGGGGAAGACCGGGTGGAGCTTCGAGTAGCGCGGAGGGAGGTCGAGCTTGTAGGCACCTTTGCTGATCTCCGCGACTATCTTGAATGGTCCCAGACGGCGGTGGGAGAACTTTTCCGACAGGCGAGTCGTCCTGATGTCAGAGGCATCCAGCCAAACACGGTCGCCAACCTTAAACTCCGGAGACGGAGTGCGTCCCCGGTCGTAGTAGCGCTTGTACTCCTCTTTGGCTTTAGTGAGCGCGGCCTTTGCTTCGGCAACACCAGTGGCAATCCGGTCGCGGAACTCGTTCACTGACTCCATGGCGGAATGGACTCCGGGTTCGAAGCCCATGCACGGGAGTCGTCCCGTGTCCGTCATGAAGGGGACTTGTTGCGTGGAGGAGTGAACGTGGTTGTTGTAGGCGAACTCCGCAGCCGGAATCAGCTCGTCCCAGTCGTCCTGCTGATAGTTGGTGAAGATCCGCAGGTACTGCTCCAACTCCTGATTGACGCGCTCCGTCTGGCCGTCCGTCTGTGGGTGATACGCGGTGGACGTGGCAGGCTTGATGCCAATTAGACACCAGAGTTCTCGGGTGAAGTCCGCGA